GAACTTGCTTTCGCCATTTTTTTTTTCCGGAGTTAGTAAAATAGGCTATAAATGTAGTGGGGAATTGAGTCAGACAGCAGAAAAGCATTCGTGTATTGGACTCTGATTTTGAACTCTTTTGTTCGGATTCATAAAGTAGACTATAAATGTTGTCGGGAATTAAATCAAACACCAAAGAAGCTTCACATGATCGACCCTGATATTGGAACCTTTCTTCCAGGTTCTTAAATAGGCATAAATTTAGTTGGAAATTGATTTGGATAATGAAAAAGAATTTGCACGACAGACCCTGATTTTTGCCTCCAATATATAAACTGAAATAGCAAAAGACATACATAAAAAGAATAAAAATGGCAGCATACTCAAACTCATATCTTCAGCGATGTCAGGATAATGAAACTCACTAACTACAGATTAAAAACAGTAGAAAATTAAACAAAAACTGAAAGAAATTATAGCAAAATTAGAAAATAAAATCTTCAATTCACTGATAAAATTTGGAAATCAAACGGGGCACAGACACATTTTTTCATATTGCAGTTATAGTGAATTAGGGATATCCAATTCTTTTCTTTGTATATCAGTAACTCCAATTGCAGTCCAGATTCTAAGATCCAATTGGAGTTGACGGAGACTGTTTCTCTTCCAATGAATTCCTTCCCCATCACATGATCTGACACAACCGAGGAGTTTTAGTGTTCATTTCAGTGCTTAACCGGTGTCTTGAAAACAGACGACATTTCCTTGTTTTCTCTCAAGTTCCGATTCACATTTTGGCCATAATTTCCAAAAAAAGTCGTATATTGAGGAATCTTACAATGAAGATAAATCCGGGAACTGAAATTCCCATTGAAATTGGATCATATTGTCTCCAGGGAAACACGCTAGTAATGGAAGCTGTAGGAATAGTTCAAGAGGATTTGAAGTTGAAGGGAAAATATAATTGTTGAAACAAGTACTTAGGTTTTTCTTGGCTCCTTTGAGCCACATGTTTTTTATGTTCAACTTTGCAATGAAATTCATATGAAGAAATACTGAGCAGTTTTTGATACTCGAGTATAAATTTTGCTTATTTCTTATTACACTTCTAAACAAATTAAGTAAAGAAGTTTTGTGTTAATGAATAAAAGCACTTGTCGAAGTTAAAGTTTCAATTTTATTGATCTTAGTAAAAATTGTATAACTATAGACATATAGGATATTTGTTTGTTGATGTGGGACTTGGTGTAGCTAGTTTAAGGTGCACCACAAAAGAATCCTCTTGGCAAGATGTTTCCAAGTAGAGGTGTGGCATTGAAGTTTACCTTTTGCGATTCTTCATAGGAAAACCTTTATGTATTTGTTTCTCTCTACTTAGTTTTATGTGACTTCCCTTTATTACCCTTTATATTGTATTCACATGGGGAGCACATGTCAACTTAACGAATATTTTGGACGGAAATCATAAGTAGGGACAATTGTGCCTAAAAATAGAAGGTTGGGGGTCAAATGCCCAGTAACAAAGGGTGGGGATGGAATTGACAAAGGGGATAAAGGTTGGAGACAGCAAATGTAATTTTGCCCTTTCTTATTCTCATGAATGCCACATCTGTTTAACTTCTTTTACTTACGCTATAACATGTCTGATTGGCAATCGTGCACGTAATTGCAATCTACATTAGTATCAATATGATCTCCTGGTGTAAGCTTATCAAACATCATGCAATATACGAAATTGAATAAACCAGAGACAAGTTGTTCTGCCAAATTTGTAGATAGTTGCTTTCTGATATTTTATGCAGCTCATTGTTTTCCCATGCCATAGGTTGCTTATAACTAACTTTACCATCGTTCAGGGATTCAAATGTTGAAATTCCTCCTTCTGTTGATCTTATTGAGGTTTGTAATATATATTTGTTTCTATTTCTATACAACATTTTATTTTTTTTGTATCGATATGAATCAAGTTCATCTGTGTTATTTAATTAAATTTTGGAACCTTTTCTTTGACAATTTATCTGTTTGAAAGTCTGTTGAGATCTTTCCTTTAAAGAGGAGAGTCAGAAAAACCAAGCTCTGTTATTGAGTGTCCTATTTGGCATTTTTCTCCCAAATAATCAAGTCCTGCTGATGTAAGCAAAAGCACAGAAACAATGAAAACATGACGAGCACCTTGACACGATTGACCTTTTAGTTACTGTTTAATCCTAGAATGTCAGAAAATTGGGTATTGATGACTCGTTGATTCGCACACAATTACCGAGAATTTGGACTGATTGGTTTGAAATATCAAATATCGAGAATTGAAGAGATTAGAGAACTTCAAAGTCTTATAAAGTCTATAATTTGTATTTGAATATCAACTTATCTACAATACATCGTCTTGATTTGCTTTTATAAAAAAAATAGCAATGAAACTTCCTAACATAGTCGAACTTAACTCCTAAGCAAAAGCATAATAAAACATAACTCTTAATTGTCCATAAAGTCTAATTGATAAAATAACATAACTCATAATCATATTAAAACACAACATACTTATTAAAATAAATTGTTAAAACATGTCTTAATTGCATCACATGCTAATGGTGAAGTTTGATTTGGATTGGTACTTCTCTGTGTTTTATCTTGTTCTATCATTATCCATTTCCGTTACGAGGATTATATTACTAGTTGAGTAATTGGCTGAACAACTTCCACGTATTTTTTTATATGACTGTAACCGCTTTTTTCATTTTGTTCTGAGCGCCACCAACTTGTTTATGGAGGAAATTGTAGAGTAGGGCATATCAAGTTTTTGATGAAGTTCTTCTTATAATTGGTTTTAGAGATTTGAGTTAATGATTGTAGGTTCAGTGGCTGAGCAACTGTCTTGACCTAAATGTTCTAATATGTAACCTAGGGGTGTTTTACCACTATTGGATAGTTTCTTAACGTGCTTAAGTTTCATTATATTTTTTCGAAAGTGTTCATGGTCAAATTGGTGAATTCTTTTATTTGGATTTATGTTGCTCGCTTTGCAAACTTACTTAGTGGTAGGAAGCTGCATTCATTTATGTCTTGAGTTTCTTAACACCAAATGTGAACACAAGTCTACATGACATAACAGTGGTGTAACTGATGTTCAAATCTAAATGGCTGAGACAAATCATTGGAGACTAATTGTAGAAGATGAACAACGAGATTAGGAAAAATATCTTTTATTTTCCTCACTTACAATGTACAATGAAAGAGTTCTATTTATACTACAAAAGGAATACATAGAAAAGGAAAAACAAATCTCCTCCAATCATAATATTCTATCTATGGTAATTAGAATCAAAATCAAACTTCTCTCAATCAATTAAGGATTTTGTCACTCCCCTTCAAGTTGGATCATAGATGTTAATCATATTCAACTTGAAGATGAAATCATCAAATTTCTGCCTAGGTAGTCATTTGGTGAAAACATCTGCAATCTGTGCTTGTGTAGGGACATAAGTCATGCAAATAGTTACTTCCTCAACCTTCTCCTTAATAAAGTGTCTATCCACCTCTATATACTTAGTTCGGTCATGCTGAACTGGATTAAGAGAAATGTTGATTTCTGCTTTATTATCACAGTAGAGCTTGATTGGCAACTTTATGGTGACGTGTGGTTCTTCCAAAAGCTTTCTCAGCCACAATCCCTCGCATATTCCCTGTGCAGCAGCTCTGAACTCGGCTTCTGCACTACTTCTGGCTACTACATTCTGTTTTTTACTTTTCCGTGTTACTAAATTTTCCCATACAAAGGTACAATAACTGCATCTGTGAAAACTTCTACTTCTTTCCTTTCACTCCTTTTGAAAAGTAGCCCCTTTCCTGCGGATCCCTTGAGATATCTGAGTATTTTATAGACTGCTTCTAGGTGACTTTCCTTCAGATAATGCGTGTGTTGACTTACCATGCTAACTGCAAATGCGATGTCAGGTCTGGTATGTGTTAGATAGATTAGTTTTCCAACCAGTCTTTGATATCTATCAATTTCTACTGGCTTTCCTCCATCTTCAACTTTCTTTCCTACATCCACTGGTGTATCACTTGGTTTGCATCCAAGCATGCCGGTTTCGGTTAGAAGATCAAGTACATATTTTCGCTGTGATACACTGATGCCTTTTTGAGATCTGACCACTTCCATTCCCAAGAAGTATCGTAGTTGTCCCAAATCCTTTACTTCAAAATTCAGTGGCAAGACTCTTCTTTAGTCTTTCCATTTCAACTATATTATCACCTGTCAGAATAATGTCATCGACATATACGACCAGAATAACTTTAGTACCATTTTCTAATGGTCGAAGAAACATGGTGTGATCTGATTGTCCTTGACGATATCCCTGACTTCTCAACACTTCCGCAAATCTGTCAAACCATGTTCTTGGTGACTGCTTGAGTCCATATAAGGACTTTTTCAGTTCGCATACCCGATTTCTTCATTTACCACGCAGAATCCTGGTGGTAGTATCATGAATACTTCATCTAACTTTTCATTTAAGAATGCATTCTTGATAACTAGTTGCTGAAGTGGTCAATCCAAATTCGCTGCTAATGATAGGACTCGAATTGTATTCAATTTTGCCACTGGTGCAAATGTTTCTGTATAGTCAACACTGTAAGTTTGTGTGTATCCTTTTGCCACCAACCGAGCTTTATACCATTCAATTGTCCCATCAGCTTTGTATTTCAAGTTGAAGACCCATTTGCATTCAACATGTTTCTTTCCTTTTGGTAAATCCAGTACTTCCAAAATTTCATTTTTTTCCAATGCTCGCATTCTACTAATACTGTTTCTCTCCATTTTGGAATTTGCAAGGCTTCCTAAATAGTTCTTGGGATCACTGTATTGTCAAGGTGAGTAGTAAAGGTACGGAAGCTTGTAGATAAAGCATTATATGACATAAATTTTGAAATAGAGTGGAGAGTACATGATCGCGCTTGTTTTCTGAAAGCAATGGATAAGTCTGTATCAGAAACCTCTAATACTTTCTGAGGTTTTGGAGCTATCATCGGTTTTGACTCTATTGGTGCTTCAAATGTGAGATCCTCTATGTTCTTAGGTTTTGGCATTCTTGAATAAACCAGTATCTCTTTATCATTTTGTTTTCCTGCATCTCCCCCTGGATTCAAGTTCCCCTCTGTTAATGGCATACTAGATTCAGGTGGTGGGATAGGTTCAGGAGGGGAGAGGTTGAAGTCAAATAACCGATCTTCATGTAAGGTCTCCCCCTGAAGAGAGGTGTTGTTGAAGTAAGGAGTGTTTTCGAAGAAAGTAACATCAAGACTGACAAAGATCTTTTTCGTGGAAGGGTCATAGCATTTGTAGCCTTTTTGTGTAGGAGAGTATCCAATCAGGACGCATTTAATAGCTCGGGGATCAAGTTTACTTCTGTGATGAGAGTGAATATGAATGAATGTAGTGCACTTAAAGCCTTTCAAAAAAATGTAGTGCACTTAAACACTCTTAGGGAAATATTCGAGCTGAGTCGAGATGTTGGGAAATATTTTTGAAGTGTTTGGAGTGGTGTCTCAGAGTTTCGGACTCGACTAGGTATTCAATTGATTAAATATGCTGATGTAAGGATAGCGTCCCCCCAAAACATCTTAGGCATGTTCATAGTAAACATTAAGGCACGGGCAACTCTTAGAAGATGTCTATTTTTGCGCTCGGCAATCCCATTTTGTTGAGTAGTGTCGATGCATGAGCTTTGATGTATTATTCCATGTGTCTGAAGGAAGTTACCCATGATGGTATTAAAGTATTCTGTGCGATTATCAGTATGTAAAATTTGAATCAGTGTTTGGAATTGCGTGGATCATGGAATGGAAGTTGATGAGCACGGAGCGGACATCAGATTTATCTTTTAGTAGGTAGACCCAACAAATTCGAGTGTGGTCGTCAATAAAAGTAATAAACCATTTTGTGTGGGTACGATTTGGGACTCGTGAGGGGCCCCATACATCACTGTGAATTGTTGTGAATGGTTTTGACGGTTTGTATATGGATTTTGGAAATGACGTTCATTGATGTTTTACCAGCTCACAAATTTCACATTGACAATGAACTTGCGTTTTATTCATGAACATAGAGAGGAATACTCGTTTCAAGTATTGGAAGTTCGGGTGACCATTCTAAAATGCCATAACATAATGTCACTATCTCTAGGAACAGACGTAGAATCACAAATTTTAAATTGACACGGGTTACTCACATCAGTCTCGTCAAAGTAGTAAAGTCCTTCACTTTCCTTAGCACTGCCAATCGTCTTCCCCGATGATAGGTCCTGCAACACATAGTAAGACGGAAGAAATTTAGCAGAAAGGTCCTGAAAAATACAATGAGATGAAAAAAATTTAGCGGAGCAATTGGAAGTTTTGTTAACTGGCTTATAGATAGTAAATTACAAGATGGATTTGGAACATAAAGGACGGGTTCTAAAGTTATAGAATCAGAAATTTGAATATTCTTTTTTCCTGCAACAGTCAATAGGGAACCGTCGGCAATTTTAACTTTAAGGTTACCAGCACATGTTGTATATGAAGAAAATAGGTGGTAGGAATCCGTCATGTGATTAGAGGCTCCCGAGTCAATGATCCAGGGTGTTTTAGATTGAGTAGTGGATTTTAAGGCTCTTAAAAAATTACCTCTGTGAGTTAGAGAGCCTGAAGGATTATATTTACCAGCCTGACGGTTGAAGGCTCGAAAACATTTTGTAGAGTTGCTCCATTTGCTCAGAGTTAAAGGCCCCACTGGACTTTTTGAATTTCTCAGTTGGATAATCAATAGAAGCTTGATATCCTCGATATCTGTTATTTTGCCTTGATTTCCAGTCTTCTGGCTTTCCGTGTAGATCCTAACACGTGTCCTTATGTCCTGTTTTTCG